ATGGAATTTGGATGAAAAAGGATATGGTAAGTTGGGTAGGTGGGTAGCTATTATAAATCGGCATACATATTAAAGCTTGATATTATTATTTTCAATAAATGAGGCCTATGTATCCGTGTTTAAACGGTTAGATAGCAAAGTACATAACTGGTATTTTCTTGTGGGATGTAAAATTTTCGATACGAGTACTTGTCTAGCACTTACTAATATGCGTGTACAATAAGATTCAAAATCATCTGAGCATTGAATGAGTTCAAAAATAACATTACAAAAAGGATCAAAACTGTTAGTTAATATAAAAATTGTTAATTCATTGAATAAATGTTGCCTTATATTAAATATAAATATTAAATTACAGGCACAGGGGTATTGACAACTTGGCTCAGAGTGACGGGCGCAGTGGCAGTGCCCCTCAGATCTTAGTGATTTAAAGCTCTGAGTGGCATTGCAACTGTTAAGGACAGGCGTGTGCCTTACACACAACTTGTTCGTCCCGTTACTTGGTCTCATTAAAAAATCGTTTTTCGAACTCTGATCACTCTGATGATTTTGATGCTGACTGTAGCATGTGTTAATGATGGGGGATTCCAATGGACGGACGGGATGCTTCCCTTCTTAAAAATCTTATTGCAGACTATATCAGTCAAGCTTTAGCCCAAATTTTGAAGCTGCACTGGGTCCTGCGGTGCCTCTGCTACCAGTCCCGACCAGAAGGTTCCATAATTCTTCAACACTGTGCCCCTATAAAATAACCAAATTTTATTTAAATTCTTTTAAATTTATTATCAAAACGATGCCTTACTTTCACAAAGTCGTATCTTATAAAGAGTGATTATTATTCAGGAGATAGCAAAACTTTTTATTTTAAGTTTCTTATCAAGAGTGGTAATTTGGGTGCATTACTATAAGAATAGGTAATAGCCAGTATGTGATTATAAAGGAAATGTGATGTGAAATCAATATGCAGTTTGTATACACAATCCATTTTTTGCATTTCAGTAACTTTTTGCTTTAAGATACAAGTTTGAGAAAGTTAGGCGAAGCTATTCTCCATCTTATTGCGCTAAATTCTAAAGAGTCCATTCATTATCCTTTGCTTAAAATAAAGACGGGTATTTTAGACAAAGACTGCAATGAATGGGGTTTACGTGTGTTATTGAAAAAAATATTACTGTTAGTGCGCATATTGTATTACAAAAATAAATTGAGTAACAACCTCTTTGATCTAGTTGCGAATAGCAACTTAGAATAATTAGTGTGATACATCAATCAAGTTGTTTCTCCGTCCTCGAGGTCGTTGCACTTTATATCAAAAGTACCTTTCACTTAATAAGTACACGTGTGTCGATTGTGAAATACTCAAGCATAGTGAACGTTTTAGTGCAAAAATAAACCAAAGAGAACCTTAATGAGTACTTTAAAGACTTAACGCATAAAAATGCGTCATAATGAAAATAGTTCACGTAATTCATTATATTAAAAGACTGATAAAGGACATTCCAAGCACAGATAAGAATTTAGAAGTAAACTAGGTCACGTCTACATAATTGTACGAATTACATATTACGTCGCGAATTTTCCAGTAAAATATTACTAGGCCGCATTAAACCGAGGAAAACAATTCCATAATGTACTACATAAACATAAACATTTGTGAAATCGTATTAAAGCAAATAAGCGTAAATAATATCATTGGAGAGAACTAATTCTGCATCATTTGAACATCAAACATTATTTCAAAGTAAAACGGGCATTTTGTGAGCGAGAGTCTGTTTTATGTAAAAATAAGTTGTCAACTTATCACATTCTACAGCGTGAGACACACCGTGACCTACACTCGCTTTCCGTGTGTTACACGCTTAAGTGTGTGTACCTTAGTACAATAGGCTACAAACTTACGTGAAATACACTCTTCCGTGAGCATTAGGCGGAGCTCTCCATACGAATGTCGCTCGCGCCTTGTTCTTTGGATCAGCGTGTGTAATGGAAGAACACTCTGGATGAACGGTAGTGTTTGGAGCCTGCTCCCAGGACCCAAGCCATTGGTCCGTTTCTACGGATCGCGCTTGGATGAAGAAGCCCTTGAATGGCTCTGCTCCTTCTATGGTCACTGGAATCAAAATGGTGACTTAAACTTTTACCTAAGAGCGTTTACACACAGCGACTTTTGGCAGCGTTGCAAACGCGATACAATCGCTAATGGTCTACCTTTACACGCGCGATTTTAAGCAGCGATTCAAATGCGCAACTGCGTCGATAGAAACGCGCAATTGCATCGCTACACTTGGGATTTATAGGCGATTGCATCGACGCAATCGCGCGTTTGTATCGATGCTGTCACGCATTTGCATCGATACAATCGCCTATAAATCGCAAGTGGATGAAATCCAATAAACCGGATTCATCCCCTAATTTGCCACCCTTTGTGGAATACTTTGTTAAAATTTGATTGGGACCACTACTCAGGCACCCCTTTCCCGACAAGAATCATCAAAATCGGTTAATAAATGTCGGATAGTCGCGTAATATAACAAAAAAATAATACACTCGAATAGAGAACTTCCTCCTTTTTTGAAGTCGGTTAAAAAGAAAATAACTTGAAAATCTTGCTTCCTAACGTAATTGCCAGTTTACCCCATAGATATATATACTCGTAGGAAATCTATGGTTTGCCCTTAATACCAAATAGTTCGGTCCACTGAATTGTTGGGACTCGTGTCAAAAACTCGCGTAAATTTTCAGTGAATGTATATTTTAATGGTTAATCTTCTGGTTATACTTCAGTGTTCCTAATATTCACTCTGTTGTAGTTCTTTTTTTTTATCAAGTAGTGAATCTAGAATGCATATTCTAGAATAAACAGCACAATATTTGCGGACATGCCAATCTATAACCAGGTCAAGGCCTCGAATCCTTTTACCGTAAATCTTTATAACATCTCCAGTTTAAGAAATAAACCGGTCTTGACTTTAAAGTTGTATGACCTACTATAGCGGGAGATATTATTGCGTAAGGTACCGGCTTCTTTGTAAATACCTACTGAGATTTTATCAATGAGTTCCTAAGTTAAGCCAGTTTCAGCAGTGGAAACAATTTGAAAATAATATTTACAAATTCAATAATAGGGACAATATTTTCAATAAACACCTTGCTTTAGTTCCCTGAGAACAAGTGGAAAATAAGTTTCTTTATCTCTTATTACAATCAAATGTTATGGTCTAGTAAAAATCGCTCTAACAGGAAAATAATAACAACGAAAAGAAAAAAGAAAACCACTCACACCACGTGGAAAAACACTTGATTTGGTATAGGGAAAATGGTTTATAGATTGTGTAGTGCTTTATGCATTTGATTATTTTTTAATAACAGGGCAAACTGTTCGTATATGTGTGGGTAAGTACAAACCTGTGATAGCAGAACTTGGTCCATATGCTGACGAGGAAGCCACTACTCTGTAAGGTAACGTCGACAGAGGTTGTGTTCTGTGTTGACCATGATTAGGCTGGTTAGGGCGATCCTTCACGCACGCGTCTATCGGCGCACCGTCAGGAAAACATTGCACACTCCAAATCAAGAGCAAACTGACAAATAACTTCGGTAGCATTTTGGTAGAGTCAAATTTTGAAACGGTCAAACCCAACACTCTGTCAGAGATAGACTGCGGACCCACGGGCCATACCTTCACTTTTGTAAGCGGGGATCGAAAGGATCCAGATTTGAAACAAGTTAACTCACTAATTTAAGTTTGTTGTCGGATTTATGTGTAACGAAACAGAGTAGATACATAAATTGCGCAAGTAGGTAACTATAATGTTTATATTTAATCCCGTTAGAGGTTTAAGTTTATAATTAAAGATAGAAATCATAATGCGCTTTTTGACAAATGATTTTTATAAAAGACATAGGTATATGAAAATATATAATAGTAACTTTAGTTAATTTCTTATTTCTTCGCATCGTTTGAAACAAAAACAATTTTGTCATTCTCATCTCTGTTAGGCAAGAGTTTGGCTGGATCCAGTACAATTGTATCTGGACTGCTTTCGTTATGTTCCATGTATTGCATTATTTCTTCAAGCATGTTGTCGAAGTCCTCGTCATATTCGGACAGATGATCGGAATCGTTTAGTTGTTCTGTTCTGTTCTGGTCACTTTTTGGTAAAGGAGCTTCTTTGTCATTTGTCAAAGCCTTGCTTCGTCCACTTACACCCGGGGGCATCTTACCCGATCCCTTTGTCCCAGATGTTGTTTGACTATCTGATCTGTGAGTATTGTGGTGATGCGGGAATTTCCTTTCCAGATAGCGTGTTTCATAATCATTTAGCGAATTATCGTATACACTACTTGATGGCGATGATATACATCGTATCCAGTCTTGGCAATCAATGGAAATACTGGAAGCATTAGTAAACCCTCCATAATATTCGTCTCTGAATCCTTTATCTCTATTAGGTATGAAACCAGAGTCATTGTCTATGTCTGATCTTTCTAGAGAGTCGTAACCTTCCTGAACCACTCCGTTATCAATTGTTTCATATATTGGTTCCAAAATCTCTGCTAACTTCTCGCTAGCTTGAATGGATATTATTTCAGCAACATGAAGCTTTGGTCTTACAGTAGCATATTGAGCTTTGGGTTCATCGTGACTGGGCGCCACGGCAGTGCTGTAAGTCATTCGGCGATCGCTAGATGGGTCGACACTCAATCTTGGATAGCCTGATTCACCCCGAACTCGAGATACTACAGCTCTTTCGGTTTTTAAGTATGTTGCTTTGATTAAACTGTGAACCTGCGATAAGAGTAAGTACATTTAGCATGTTATAAGAAAACAATGACTTTGATTATTTTCAATCTATGTTATCTCATTATTTATTCCAATACAGATGGAATGACATTATTTTTGTGCATATCTTAGGGAAGTCATTACACTTATTAAAGCGGAGTCGTATTTAATCGGTCAGAAAAAACTTTACGTCGATGCGAAAATGAAGGTATGCGTTTCGCTTCCGCTCAGGCGGCCAACACGAAACACACAAAGTATTTTTCGCGCTTATTACATGGATATAAGGTTTTCTGTGACCGGCTTAGTATTGATAAGAGTAATCCCTTCCACACAATGGATTGTTACTGTGACTAATGCAGTGATGGTTACTAATTCTAGACACTTTTAAAGATATGATTAAAGTAAAAATTGTGCAACACATAGTTATCATCATTGTCAACCCATTATGCATCCCACTGATGGGCAGGGCTCCTTAAAGAGAAGGTTTAAGCCGCAATCCATTCTGTCCCAGTGCGGAATGGAGCCTCACACTTTTTCCAAAGGTTGCTGAACCTTCTTCGACGTGCTGGTTTTACCGCAGTGTTTTTCTACACCATTAGGGGTAGGTATGCTTCTAAAATTTTATAAGTGTAGATAGGTAACTTAGAAGTCATATGTACCTCTTTATTAGCGTAACAGTACAGCATAGCTACGAGGAACCCTTGCAATCCTTCGACTGTGTAAGCCACGTAGTAATAAATTTGTTCTCCTGTGCAATTGGTAGTGTTCGGTCTGAACGCGGTCAACAGAAATTGGACACCAAATATCGGCATTAGGAAGAGAGTTGCTTTGGCTGTATTCCTGTAAGATAAAAATAGTACTTGAAATATTTAAATTCGACATAACTAATGCTACACCAACACCAATACTGCCGTCCTTAATCATAAATCACTTAATCGACATTTTTGCGAAATGAGTTATTAACATGGGTCATTCTCGGGTTATAGTGTTCTCTGCCTAATTTTCCTGGTCATTTTTTATTATTTAAGTATTCAAATGTATTATTATCATGAAATATTAAATAATAATTGAATATATATCTATCATTTTCGAATACTACACTATATTTCACAATGCCGCAACAATGACCGATATCTGGAATCAGCAAATTGAGATCTACAACCCTCTATAAGCAGTTTTTTTATATCTTATTTAGTTTCAGTTTTACTATTAAGCAAAATCAGAAGAATTTACAATTTTCAAAGAAAAAAAATGCCACTATTTCTCGAAGTTATAAAAATTACAAAATGCAAATGCAAATAAGCGTTGTTTATGACAAGGAAGGAAGACTACCTGTAAATTTTTGATCTTGAAACGTTTACTTAGCATACCGTCCTACTTTAGAATAATTTATTCACTTCTCAAATAAGCTTGCTATAGATTGCGTGGTACTTACAATTGGTTAGCATTCTCGGAATTCCTGATCTTCGTGAGTAAGACTCTTAAAACGTCACAGAATAGTGCTGTGTTGATCAATAGTATAGCGAATCGAGGTGCATCGAGAATCCACTGGATATTTGGTATGGTGTACACTACCCAGCAAGAATGATCGTTATTGATTGCCATCACTATTGCCCATGCTATTACAGGGGTGAAGGCAATTACTGGAAATAATAGTTTGTGTTATTTCTACGTTTGTTAATACACTTTTTACTTATAGTTTGACTTACCGCTTCTCAAGTAGAGGCCATGGGTTCTAATCTGGGTTGCCTTGTGTGAGTTCCTCGGAATTTGTGTGCGAAATTTAATTATCACTGACTCCGTGGCCGAACGGTTACCATGCTGATCCCAGAGTCGATTCCCGGGCGAGGGGAAATATTTGTATAGCCTACATTTATATCTCTTGTGATTTTGGGAATAATTGTTGTTGTCGTTGTGTGTGTCCATGGCACCCGCGACCCAGGGTTTCCCTAGTGCGGGGCTATGAATGTGTGCGTTATTATTTTTACCATTATTATTAATTTCAAATTTACCGTGATCTTTACGGTGAAGGAATACATCGTGATGAAACCTGCACGTCGAAAAACAACCCTCGGAAAACATGTGAAGTCCCCAAGGCCTAAACCCTCGCCTGAGAGGAGACGGATGCCCAGCACTGGGCCGTATGTTGATGATGATTATAGGTGCACGAAAGGAGCTTTGACGACGTGTCATTCCTTTTCTGTACCTACGTCTGGCTCAATCTGGGCATCAATAGGCGAGTACGTTACACCGATTGGTAAATCCTGTCACAACGATGGCAAGCATTACATTATACCATCGATATGATAAGAAGGTTATTGATGCGATCTTCTGTATTAATCCATAAAAATCACTTACCCATGCCAATGGCATACAACCACTTGATGTTTAATTTCTTTCTAAACACAGCTACAATAAGTCTATGTAAGTATATGCCTTCGACCAACATGCATACGAAGACAACGTTCGCGGCCGCCCTCTCAGCCACAGCCAAAATTCTGCAAGCTATTCCATGATTGGACATTATTGTATCACCAGAGTTTGTAAGTTCGTCAATGTAGACCTGGAAAACATATCGTGATAATTTTTGGTGAAATTCCTGCTCGGTAAAATATCCGAGGGTACAAGCAATTATCATTACGTAATCATAATCAAAATATATTCAAATTCAAAATAAACAACTGTAATCGGATCAATCGGACAATCCAATATGTTGCGACTTAGGTAATAATCCCATTTTTCATCACGTATTTATCAAACACAGTAAACATTTTGTTTCAAAATTTTGTCAGGCTTATGATTACCAAAATAATTGATTCCCAATTAATTGATTGGGTTCAAAAAGATTTTTTGTTTAATAAACATATCTTTATTTGCCACAGGTGTTAATTTTCTATTGCATGAGAATTAAGTGCTCATGTTATGATTAAGAGAACATATTAAGGTAATTTAGCAGTAAGTAATGTTTTAAAGCAACTAAAAAGTCAGACTGAAATATAACCGTCATTATATAGAGACGGAGAATGTTAATTACATAACACTTGGTTTCAAAAGTAAAATCCAAAATCAAAATACGCAAATGAATCTGAAGTCGTCGTAATAAAACAGAAACAACGACCTATTTGAAAAAAACTATAACTAGATCCCGTAACTGCCACATTCTAAACAACCAACCTTTCTTTTATTATACATATTAAAGAAACTTACCACACTTCTGCTTATTATGACCAAAATATTTCTGATAATAATAGCTATCATCAAATTTCTGTGTAGAGCAACTCTGGTGATCCTCAGTCTCTTATAGAAGAAGAAAATAAATACTGCTGGTAGACATGACACAATGGAAAAAGACAGCATGGCTATGTAGAACCGGTACCGACGTAAGAATCTTGGTGTGATACTGCAAGTGCTATAGTCGGTTTGCAATTCCCATGTACCGTTGGCATGACATTTCTTGGAACTAAAATCTGTACACAAATATAAGTTTATGAATTGATTATATAGCGAATTTTACAAAATCTGTACATTGTGAAATCCGCTACTAAGATCGCTGTATTTTCAGTTGCTTTTGTTTGGCACTCTTTCGATTTTACGATGATTATAAATGTATTGTGTACAGTCAATGGCATTACTCAGTTCTAATATTTTGTGTTTTGGACAGTTTTTATAATAAGTACTGTAAGCCTAACACAAACATAAAGCGCGAGATACTGCTATTCTATATTACTGGTACAGAAAATATTATATTAATACGGGAGGTCACACAGCTTTTTTTATGATACCAAATAACGGGGTGAACAAGTCGTGCGTGTGGTGGTAATCGGCACGCCTGTCCATAACAGTTGCAGTGCCACTCAGATCATTAAAACCCCAAGGTCTCAGGGGCACTGCCACTGCACCCGTCACCATGGTTACATAAGTTAACAAGTCCCATGTGCTTATAATTTCACCAGAACAAGGGTTCTGGTAAAACTGCGTTCCGGTTTATAAGTGTAAGGACACTTATAAACCGGAACGCAATAATGTTCACAATACCGCTTGGCGGCAGAAACGGTTACCTATCAGTAGTCCGAAATGACGTTTTCCAGAAATAACGTTTGGCCGAAATTTCATAACCTCGATAGTAATATTGAGAGGACAATGTTTTTTCTTTTAAACCTAACGTAACCGAACTTAACCATGTCGTTGCGATAAACATTCAACATAAACTGAACGAACAACTGTTTCGTTATAATTCGGTTATCGGTGTAATGAAAATTCGAACAAATGTTATTTCGGACAAAAAAAATTTCGACTTTGTGTTAGGTTACCGGCCGAAACAGGTAACGTGGCAGTACTTCCCTGGATGAACTCTTTGACAAAGAGTAAATGCTATGGGACACGGAGGGGAAGTATTTTAAATATTGCAGATAAGATATATTGCGTCATGTGGACATTATTTTATTTTTAAAAGTAAGTAATACTGCATTCAAAGATTTAAACATGCTTCCCTCATTTGGAAATTAAACCGATCAAATGTGGCAAAAAAATCATTCTGTATTTTTATGATGTCGACAAAAAGAATATCAGGATTATTTCTTTTTCAGAAACATGGTGTCTTAAATTAACGTAACTTTAACATAGTACCTTAAATAAACGAAATGTTGACATCTAAGTTTAGGAAAATTCATTACAATACGTTTTACTGTCGATATTCGTACTTCGAGATGGAGCTCAGGCTCATAACAGTCTGAGAACAGACAACAAGTGTCTTAATGTTTTCCTTCTTGGATCGATACACATGAATGGCCATATATAGGCCGGTGAGATTCCCAAACCCGACACTATTAGGTATGTTTTTACGTGAAAGATACGAGAAGCAATTTGACAATGAGTTAAAAACGCAATTGAAACGTATTAATACGATTATCCATCATAGTAAGATAATCAAACCTATAGGCTATATCGAACTTATCAAAAGATTGTGAATTTGCATACAAGAAAATGGATCACATTTTAAACATTTTGACAAATTAATTACAATACGTACAAAGGTTATTCTTTTTTTAATAAATTGTGTAATTGAACGGACTTCCTTTCATATAAGATACTACGTTACTTAGCAGGAATTAATCTTTATAATTGACTATTTCAACATAAATATACAGAATGGTTTTTTTACATTTAGTCGGTTCGATTCCCAGACGAGGTAAACAACTTTTTAAAAGGCTTTATATGCAGTATTACACATTTAAAAAAATAAAATAATGGATCCATTAAGTAAAATGACCTATCCTTAATATTTAAAAGTAATTTCCTTCCGTATCTCATAGCCCTGGAACACTGTAATATCTAAAGCATAGTTTCCCAAAGGCCCCTAGCCTCGGAAGCAGTTGGGGGGCGTTGATACTATCCAGGGGGTGCTACCGCATTTTAAAAGATACCTTAATTATCTATCTATACTACACTACATATTTTTTGTATTCAAATTCTAATTTTTCCCGTACTAATACGGTACATTTTGCTTGGGTCGAGCGGCAGGGACTATTTCAGAATTATTTTTTTACAAGCGAAATTAAAGCCATTTCAAAAATATATATCGTGTAGCACACGTGTTCTATTCAGTTCAGTTGATATTAAAAATCATTGGTATATTATGGAAAGTATCTATTGAATAAAGCGATTTTCTTGTTAAATATCGAGGTACGTTTGTGTTCTTTTCTTTTGTGAAAAATATTAGAAATCGTGTTTTCACACCGTAGAGTGTGAAAACAAGATTTCAGTGTACATCCTCAATTTTACTATATATTTTGTCCAAAGTGATTGATTCAACACTTTCAATGTTAAGCGGAATCAATTCCATTGAATGAATCAAACCATTTGAGGTTGTATACACTCTTATGTAAAAAATACGAGTTTTCAATTGATTTTTGTGGTGGTAAGCGTTGAAATTTTTTTATCTTGCCTGAGTGTGCGGTGAGCCAAAATGTTTGGGAATATATCATTGGATTGTTGGCTATAGACTTGATTTTAAATCTATGGTGCAAAACTAGCTATTGACTTTACTTTAAAAATTTAATTTGTAATATATCTACAACCAAAAGCATATCAATCGTGACATTTTGGATTTTAGACTTTTCTTATTACAAGCGGCATATTATGTTGACTTTAAATGTTGAATGTTAAACTCTACGTGCTTTTTTTATCCTTTGCTATCATAAAATATCTTTTGAATCAATCAATATTAGAACAGGGTTTGACTCTACATTCAATATTAATTAATAACAGTATTTAGTTATTTAAATGAAATTTCACAGCATTATGCATAAAGTACAAGTACTGTACGAAGAAAACTTACGATGACAAGATGGTCCTTGTCCTGAGTAGGCAAATTCGGAGCAGACAGATTGCGCAAGAGTGTCAGGATAGGTTTCATGCCAGCAAGTCCATCCATCAAAAGTAGTTTGGCAATTAGATGAATCTGAAAAAAATTTTCATTAGCACTATTTCTTCTTCTTACCGTGTCGATACTGTTTTTTTTTATTTTATGACTATATTGACTTTGAATGGTATATTGCCACCTTGACCACGTTATCCGTGGCCGCGTAGAGATCTTTCCTCGTACGGTATTAAGGCACAAGGGGCACAACAGTGAGTGCTGCATGGACTGAGTTGGGGCACCGCAGTTAGCACTACTTGAAAGATGTATGAACAAAGGCTATCATCCTCAGTATAGAGTACTACAGGGTACTGTCCTTGGGCTTTTGCATCTTAAAGCTTTCACACAGAACACCTGATATGTTGACCTACATTTCGTCTTACAACCCGTCGCTAAAATATTGCAAAAGTTATAACTTAACTACATGTCAATCTTTGAAGGGCGTCGACATATACATAAGTATAAACAAACTTGCAGATAATGAAAATAAAGTGCTCGATAATAGTTCTTATTACTACGCCGTACAATACATATATATTGGCACTAGATCAATTTGTTATAATTCTTATTACCTAATACAAATATCGAACTCTAAGAAAAAATCTTCATCTATCAAATCGCTTCAGCTGGATTGGAACCAGGGCCTTCAGCACACCGTGCCGTATCTAGTTAACCGCTCGCTGGTAGCTGTAAAGATACCTCGCAGAGTGAAAGAAAATTTTCATAGATTTCACAGATAGCGCTATGGCAAAAACAAAAATCTGCCACAAACACATAGACAAACTCGTAAGGTCTGCTGGTTCGTTCCGTAGCTCAGTTGGGGGAGCGTAAGTCACGGTATACTAAAGGAGTTGGCTCGAATCCATTCGGATCGAAGGAATTTCTCTTAGTGTTCAATCATTGTATTAATAATGAAACTTTTTCTGTGTACTTACTCCATCAGTTAATGGAGTAAGTACACAGAAAAAGAAACAATTGAATATCATGGTAGTAAAACATCATCAATTTGTTATACTTATTGAATCGTCATCGGGTAACCACTCTTACTGCAACATATTTATTGTTCTCACCAACACTTATTTCGCTTCCTTCATTCTCAGCTTCACTTCCTATTCAATCTCGTCTTCACATATTACCTCCTATTGGAATCAAAATTAGTTTACCAGTAGTATTAATGTCCGGATCTTCATCCACGTGCATGTAATTGCTGCAACAACTGGAAGCAGCGTAGAAACATCGCTCCCAGCGTCCACGGGCGGATGGTATGAGGGATTCGTTTACTACTCTCACAACTTCCTCTAAACCAGGGTCGAAAGGATAGCATCCGCACGTTCCATCGTCTTTAGTCTGGTTTTGAAAAGATTATTTTGAATTAACTTTTTTATTTTCACGACAGACTTTCATATAACCAGATATTATATGAAAATTAGTCGTGACTCGGCTGCCGCGCCACAGCCGCGCCACAGACGCATCATGGACGCGCCACAATCACACCACTGCAGCGCTTCTACAAGCGTCTGTAAAGCGCCCTCAGTATCCAATTTTAGCGCAAAAGTTTTCTCAGCATTCATAATCTTTTCATAATACATTTTGTAAAATCTTTTTACATATTTCAAAAACTGATCTAATTGCAAAAAAATGTATTGCTAAACCATTTTAAGAATGCAATTTATACGGTAAAACCGAAAGACATGCTTTCGTCATGCGACGTAGACTGATCTTACTTTGACAAAACAATCCATTTTTTGCTATAAAGCTACAGTTGCTACAGTGTTCTCTTGTAATTCTACAAACTAATTCTTATATACGCCACGGTAGAGCTCTTAAAAAATATATTTTTTAATTAAGTAGGTAAGCACTTGGGGTGCAATACAGACTTGACTGCAAAATATTAAAACCATTTTAAAACTGTGAATTTATATGGAAAAACAACTCTTATTGAAATAACACAAAATTTAAGTTAGTAGTTCTCATTTCTACACTCCTGGTTATAACTATCTATAACGCGTTGTATTTTGGTAACTTTTGAAATATTGGCACCTAAAGTTTTTTTCTTATTTGAAAATGTCAATTAGGCTGATTTTGATTAACAATAAAACTGAAACTAATAAGATAGAAAAAACCGATTACAGGGGGTTGTAGATCTCTTTTCGCTTCCAGACATGTTTATAACTCAATTTCGCTAAAAATGTCGATTACGTTAGTTATAAAGATGGCAGAATCTTTTTTATTACATGAGATTGTTTTTAAACAATGAATAAAAATTTTACGATTTTTCAATTTTTTGTACTCTTTGACCCGACTCATTGTTTCACCGGAGGTGTGATTTTATTTTGTGATAAGATCTAAGACAAAAAAATTGTTTCTTTGTCATTGAATACATTCTACACTGATAAAACACTAGTCCAATCGCATTATCTTTCTCGGAATTTGCTATATGTAATTTACATTTAAAATGTCTGACGTAATAGAAATCATATATAAAAAACATTTAAAATGTCTGAAGTAATAGAAATCTCTACACTACAATATACTTGGGAATAACGTTTGGGAATGCAATAAAATATTGAGGTATACTTTGATTGTTTTCCCTGTCTTTCTCAGGAAAATTTGCCTTATCCATACAGGTATTTATATTAATTAGGAAAAGTCCAAATAAAATATCGTCGCTTTACTTTCTCAAACCCGTATCTTAAAGCACATAGTTATTTAAATGCAAAAAATGGATTGTATATATAAATTTTGCAAGTTGATTTCACAACAAATTTCCTTCATATTCACTGAATGGCTTTTACCTATTTTTAAAGTAATGCATCCAAATTAACACCCCTGTAAAGAAATTTAAAATAAATAGAAAGTTCTCCTGAATAATCACTCTTTACAAGATACTAGGCACCGACATAAGCCCCTGCACGTAAGCTGAAAAACTGTAACACATTTTTCGAGTTTGTTACACATTAGAAATTGAACTATTTTTTCGGATCAAAATCGCCTATATTTATTTTTTCGACAAACCATCGCATACGTGATCTAGTGTTAATAGATATGATCTTTGGAAAATTTAAAAAAAAGGTTAAAAACACAGAAATATGAATAAATTTATTTAGGGCTCATTCAGAGTGCGGGCGCGGGCGCGGCGGCGGGTGCCAACGCGCGAGTCTTGGCGTCTTCTCTTTCACAGTGCCGAAGCGGCAACGAGCGGGTAGATCCACACGTTGAAATCGCAAACAGATGCTAGTCGCTGGACCAAGTACTGTGAAAGGTACGGGCGAAGCGAGCCAATATCTATCCGCGCGGCAGGCGTCAGCGCGGCGTGACCACTGTGAACTTAAGGAGCGTCTACGTACATTTGATTTACACGCACCCGCGGCCGCCGTCACTCTGAATAGGGCCTAATAAGACTTCTGTGGTATGTAATTAATTTATAACTTTTGCAAGTATAGCGAAAAATAGGGCAGTTTGTATTAGTAGTATTAGTATTAGACACAACTGGTCCATGACTTTCCTATCTCAGTCAGGCGTGACCATGGGATCTGTAGAAGGCCCGAAACGTTGGTTTGTTTGAAAAAAAAACAAATAAAATAGGTTCGAAAAAATTGTTTCATTTCCTATGTGTGACATAGTTTGTTATACGATGTTGATGACCTCGTTTCCCCAAAGAGTTACACTGCGGACGCTGGATGAAAAGGTCCCGGGTTCGATTTCCGATAGGACCAATTTGGGAAATTAACTTTTCTAGTCTGGGAGCTCTGAATAGTGCCCCAGATAGTGAATTCCGTTGCTCTGGTACTCATAGTACAGGAAATTCCCTAATTTGAGACCAGGTAATTGGTGTGGTTGTCAGGCACATTATTATTATTATAATAGCCATACAGCTCGTTGTGAAAGAGATCGTCCAAGGAAGTACTGCAACCTGCCTGCCTTATTTCTGCCGCCAATATGAGAGTTCCAGTTTTGGAGGATAAGGGCTCAGGTGAAATTACAGGCACATGAGACTTGTTAACTTATGACTCAGGGTGACAGGCGCAGTGTCAGATCTTTGCGATTTAAAGCTCTGAGTAGCGCTGCAAGTGCTTGGACTGGCGTGTCGTTTAAGACCAGGTGTATGATTTGTTCGTCCTGTCACTTGGTGTCATAGAAAAACTAAATTATCATTGTTACTTATTGTCATTTACATTTTTGCTGATTTGTTTTGCCTGCTCTTTGTAAAATTCCCACTACTTATGAGGGGACCTTTCAAAAAAATACGAAGGAAAAAACCGACCTCAAAAGTACGTGGTAAGTACATATAATTACCAAGTTTTATAGAATTCGGTTACCGGATATTGAGCAAACCCGGATTCATCCCCTAGTTGGCCACTATACGGGACTTGACACAGGAGATAATAAAAATCGGTTCTCACTACTCAAAGTATATTGAGAAAAAAACGCCTTGAATTGGATAATAGCAAAATCAACTATTAAAATAATTGCTCCTTATAATAAAATTTTGACGGTATTTATAAAAATGAATCTTCATGCGTGAACAGCCACCCTTAGAGGTGGATGATTTTCTTCAAAATTAAATGGGTGGTCCCATTTAAGGAGGTACCCTCTATCCAACAAAAAAAGAATCATGAAAATCGGTTCACAAATACCGGAGTTAACGTGTAACATACATACAAAAAAAAACATACAGTCGAATTGAGAACCTCCTCCTTTTTTTGAAGTGGGTTGAAAACTATTTGTCGGGTAACAAGCGGACAATGGCCTGGTCTAAACTCTGCCCCAAGGGAATGGGTCCAATATTAGGATGTTACATGTGTTTATACTGTAATTAGTTAATATATTCCTTGAAATAATTTTTGTACCTATTTTAACTGAAAAGTTATAAGTTAAAAATAATAAAAAGGTACTAACGATCTCCACGCAAGGCGCAAAAAGGTTTCCATAAAAACAACCAGATCTGAGGTCTATTGGATTACTGTCATTGTTGTAGAGAAAGTCTGGGGTGTATAGTAAGCAGCCACGTCCGGCCACCCAACGGAATACTTGCTCATGGTACAGTTGGTTGCGGTAGTTACATTTCTTTGTCGCCTCTATGGGTATTACGTCTGGAGGTACCTGGAAACAGTCGTCGCGTTTACCAAGACAATCAGTGGTATAAAAAGGTTCGTAAGGCCCTTCTAGAACTGCGACGGCACTATTTCATAATTCCCTGATTTTTGGAAATGCGCTGCAAAAAATTTTTAAAATGTACAAGGTCTAAATGTGACCATAGAAACGTCTGCACTTAAGCTTGGATGTAAAACTACTTTTCGTTAAGCTTTGTCTCTCGGTCGTCAACACCGCTACTGGCAGTAAATTTTGTAATAGCAGTAGAGCTGTTTGTGAAAGATTTTCGTCCAGGGAAGTACTGCCACCTTACCTATTTCTGCTGCCAAGCAGTAATATGAGCATTGCTGCTTTTCAGTTTTGAAGGGTAGGGGTGCTGGTGAAATCACAGGCACATAAGACTTTTTAATTATAACTCAGGGTGACATTGGTGTAATCCATTCCGGACTAAAATGATAACTAAGTTTGCAGACAAATGTAACGTCCGGACAGTCTACGGTAATTGGAAAACACGGGTTTGAAAAATAAAATAAGTATGATAATTAAGTAACAGAGCCAAAATCTTAAAAGTGCTTTTAGATAAAAGTATATAAACTACATAAAATAATATTTGTGATTCTGTTATGAGTTTTACCTACAGGAACAGGAAAGGAAAAAAATTGTTGTTATGAGTATGGCCGATCTACAAATGTACGTAGTTAAGCAAAAATGATCCAATATAAAAAATTAGTTATATGTATCAAACGGTTCCTAAAGTTTAACCTCTTAGCTCAGCAAAAAGAATCCAACATATAAACATAAATAAATATCTCTGGAGTTACATGACTTAATACGTTTTAAAACTAAAACAAGAGTGAGATACACTTTTAAACTTCATACCTCGAAAGTCAACTGTCATATCTCGAAAGTGACTGGATGTGCATTGGATCATTTTTGTTTAACTACCTCCATTAATTCTAATAGAAGAGACGACATTGTAGTACAAGGAAGTATTTTTACCTCACAGATGTAAAAGTTGGGTCTTTCGCATCCAAGAGATGTATTAGATAGGACAGCCACCCGCGGCTTGCGCTGAAGCCAAACTTCCACATTCGACTTCACCGGGGCTATCACATCATTGCAATATGCTTGTACCTGTATAAACAATAATTATTAAATTATATATACATTATTGAATAATACGTATTTACTACACATTGTCTACAGTAATAGCATGCAAGACATTTTAGCAATTAGAGCCTGCCTCGCTAATTGGGAATTTTATTTAAGAAATATGCTACAATACTACGTTTGTTTGTCTAAGAAGTAGTTAGGAATTTAACTATAGTCACGCTGAGTAATTAACATCACAAACTATTCGAATTATTAACAATAATGAGACCACTAACGCTACAAAGTTGACTATGACGGCCTCCAAGGTCGAGTGGCTTCTACACCGGTTTTCATGGTGTTTTGATTTCATGACCTCTGATGTCCTAGGTACGATTCCCGTCCGGGTCAGTGCAGAAAAACTGTTCTATGTATATTGTCTCGGGTCAACAAGTGCCACTAACTGTGGGATCAGAACAACGTATGTGATGTTCTCTAAAATTTATTATTATTTATTACTACAAAGCGTACAAATGACAACGTGTTGGTGTCTCTACCTCACACAACTATAAACAGAAAGAATAAGAGAAGAGAAAAAGATCAAATCGCATGTACACACACGCACTTTTTTTGTATAAATTGAATGATATGGAAAATGTAAGAAGATATACATAAAACACGACGGGTGTTCCGTTGATGCGCTGAAAATTCGTTTACAATCGTAGATTGTGCGATTGTGCGCCTCGATAACACACTTGCAAGATAACGGATAAGTCACATGGTACATTTTATAAATGAGTTGAATGAATTGTGTATATTGAATGTAGTGTTCTCCTCAAACAAGGGTAATAAAATTGTAGAGCGTTACTTCCTCATATCTCGATATTTTTTTTACCTATACCTATTTTTAACAACTGGTTTACTATCCTCAATTATACAACAACTTGTAGTGTGAAACTACGGACCATTTATCACCGGTATCTCTCTCATTACGCATCCCTAGGAAACGCCCTTACTTTTCCTCTTTCCTGAATGAGATCCAACTAATATTTACTAGTATTAGTGCCTAAATTACTGAAAATACCCATTATAAGCGAGGGTGGAGCGCCTAACTGCAAGCTCCACCTCGCCCCAGGAGCAGCTGAAGCCAGTGCTGCATAATCGCTGCTGTTTCTACAACAATTTCACCGCTCTCCGAAGCCAGTGCTACGTAACCGCCGCTGTTTCTACGACAACATCTCCACTCTCTGCCTCCAAGACAAACCCGCTGCTCTCCAGTTCTACACCTCTGCCCTCGGTCTCCAACATCGGAGGGCACGGGCCCCCAACTCCGTGTATCCAACTTCTATCTTCTTCTTCACCTATACACCACTCCACTCTACTCTCCTACATAACACTCCCAGGTTCTTTTTGATATAAACGTATATATAACGATATACTCTATCATTCTCTATCCTTTTGATTTCATACCTTCCTACCTGTCCTAAGTTCTCTAGTCCGACCACTTAGCTCTCCCCCGACACTAACTTCTAACTTCTCGACTCCGACAAACTCTGCTTATGGTAGTATAAAAGCAATGCAATTGTAATGTAGGTTAGTCCCTATAGACGTAGTATAGTCACATACATTCAGTTCATTCACATTTAGTAGAGCTCCTTTTGAAAGAGTTCATCCAGGGAAGTACTGCCGTAAAGTGGCAATTTCTATTTCTGCCACCAAGCTGTAATGTGAGCATTACTATATGTTTCGGTTTTGAAGGGTAAGGGTGCTGGTCAAATTACAGGCACATGAGACTTATTAACTTATTTCTCAGGGTGACAGGCGCAATGGCAGTGTAACTTTTGAATGTTTGAATTAGTTACACATTTTTAATATCCACGAAATGATGGAACCAATGACCTTCAGAAACTGTTTATCTACTTAAGTCAGTGTGTCGACGTTAGAAAATAAAAATTCCCCTTGGTTGGAAACATTTTTAAATTGGATTTAATACGAAGACAAATTAATATAGAAAAAAATGAGTGTCGTACCTATATATACACAAAATACAGACGGCAGTACATAAAGTTACACATTGACTGATCTTGTTCCGTTGCATTGGAGGCGATATTCAAACAAAAGTGTACATATATATCAATCAACGTTCGATTTCAAATTAAGCTAGCTCTTTCCATTTCATATTTGTATAAATACAGGATTAGAAAAAGTCGTAAATTCTTAGTTCATGGATTCATGGACTCGGGAAGGTAATAATCACAAATTATTATCAAAATTAAATCACCTGCGTTTGTTGTAAGCTGAAAGTCCAAGAACACAGAAGAAATCCGAGAATTATACTAAATCCTTTCATGTTCCAGAACACTTATAAATTTAATGCACTCTTCACACATAATTGGCACGACCCTTGACACCACAGTTATCGTCAAAATGCCACAAGATTTACTAAGGCACTAACTATAGGGTGTTTGCAAACAGCTCAGCATCAAACATTCCAGCACGCGGCGTAACCATAACAGCTTTTGTTGATTGTGATGTATGTATTTTCTTCACTAGCCGCGGTCGTACAATTTGCTCTAAACAATTCACTGTTTACAAATTATCTACATCCACAATCAATTTGTTATCTAAAGATAATTAAATATTAGGTACCGTGACAGAAACACATCGGCGACGAATATTATCAAAAATCAGAATTAATTGTTATTTTTGTGTCATGTATCAGTATTTCAATGACGTCATAACATAACACGACGCAAAGGAGACGGAAAAAGTGAGTGAACACCAATGAAGCGTGGTAGAGCTAAGATTAGTCGATAATCATAAAACATTAAATTTGGAATGAAAATATTAAATCACCACCGCTTCAATTCAATAGAATGATGCAATCATCGGAATAACTGACAGATCACCCTGTAATCAATAAAATCAGGAATCACAGCGACGACGTAATCATGGCAATTGTTTTAAGTACTAGAGGAATGTCATATTACCGTTAGACTAGTGCAATGCCGTGATTACCTATTCGTTTACTCCAAGTAACAGCAGGATAGCCTAAAAATCACCGTATAAACCATTGCAGTGTCGGATGATAAATTGTATGTAAGGAATTCGATAGTGAGGGTCGTGAATGATGGGACAGGACGGGTCGTACAAGCCGAATTTAGACTTCCTAGTCTTAAAAAAAAGGTTTTGAAAGGGTAGTAAATGATTTTTTTTATGACACCAAGTGGCGGGACGAACAAGTCGTGGGCCTGGTGCTAAGCGACACGCCTGTCCATAACAGTTGCAGTGCCACTCAGAGCTTTAAATCACAAAGATCTGCGAGGCACTTCCACAGCGCCCGTTACAAGATCACCGGAACGCAATAATGTTTACATTACTGCTTGGCGGCAGAAATATACAAGGTGGCAGTACTTCCCTGCACGAACTGTTACAAGGAGCTCTACTGTGACTAAAATGAGTTGATATAGAGTTGTCATGTATGTGTATCGAGTGAACCTATTAGATAATTTCATAAGGTTGTTATTAGCGATTTGTAACGTCCTTCGCCATGGCTAGTTAGCTTGTTTATGGACAATTTAGATCTGAACAGAATGAGTTATTTGTCAGTTGCCGCATATTCATCGATGATAAAAAGACATTCTGGTCTAGTCAAACGCAAATAAAAGTAATGAAAGCAAACGAGAGTAAGACGAAAGTACCTAAAGCAATCACCGTAATTACGATGTTACGAAAAAGGAATAAAAGTGTAGCAAAATACGAAATTTGTTGGGAGAGACTAGCTCATCAAAAGTTGCAAGTGAATCGCAATGCATACAGGCAGATGAGCTGGCCATTCCATCCCGAGAATCTAGGTCTCAAAGAAAAGAGTCTCGACTATTTTTTGCCATTTTCGAGACTCGAGATTAATGCTTTCAATCTCGGGAATTGCGAGACTTCTGAGACTTAAGTCACTTAATTCAACAGTATTAAAAATCTACTAATAATAATAATAATAATAATAATTTATTTATTGGAAGTAATAAAAACTCATTTTTGTTAGTATACACACTCTTATTAACTAATATTAGTATACACAAAACACACAAAAACAATAAAATATTATACATAGTAGACACTGCTGGAAATATGTTTTTCACAACAGTGTCTCAAGTACGGACATTGGTTTCTATCCGCTATCAGCTTAAGGATAGGGTTGGGGCTGGCCCGCACCCGGCGCACCAGAGATGCGCTTCGTTTGCGGATGCTTGTATAAAAACAATCGACGCGCGCTTCAGCGAACATCCCTGATGCGCTACAGAAGCGGGGCAGCCCCACCAGCACCCGGAACGCGTCATTATATTGGACTCGGAGGGACCCATAGGTCCTCTGCGTGTAGTGCCTCCATAAGCTGCATGTATATAGAGATGTACAGTATGCTCTGAATAATGTTATTTTAACATCCTTCGTACAGCGCGCGAATTTACGGGAAATCATGTTAGCCCTTATGGACAGGGCCCTCCGTTCCCGCTCGATGTCCATATTGTCCTTTAGGTCAGCCGTTACAATATGTCCTAAATATTTAAAACTCCTCACCCTTTCTAGTGGAATACTATTCAGACTGATGGGAGGCACTTCAGACACTTTGTAACAGCTGGGTTCGAACACCATGTATTGGCTTTTTTTAACATTGTACTAAACCAACAGTATCTAATTTTTCATTCGGAGTCGTTCTCATGCAACCAATGGTCGCCACGCATGTTAGCCTTTGAAAATCCAGTTTGTCAGCTACGGATCTCAGTTTGATTCGTAGCTACCAGACTATAGCGTCTTAGCTGATTGTAAGTCTTATCACCGTTGTATAAGCCATAGTGTTATTTTGGGTTACTCTCCATTGTTTAACTACTATTCTATGACATAGACAAGAGGTGATTGCAGGTCTTTTGATTTTTGTTCAGCTTGTTATCATATGTTTAAAACGCGACTTCAACCAATAACTGTAGTTCTGTCCTGAAGAGTTTGGGAAATAGGTAGGTATTTACGCAGTATTCTTTTGTTTGTAAACACTACGACTTACTGAGTTTAGCCATAGTTCAGATTCAACATTTTTTTGCAATCCGGAGTGCAGCAGAATATACTATATCATCAGCGTAGCCTACTTTGTAGACGTGTCTGTTGTTTAATTTGGTGATAAGGTCGTTTACGCCAATATTCCACAGCAGAAGTGATAGTGCTCCACCCCTTCGCTACCACCGCTCATGTTGTCACTTTCTATTACTTTCATGGTTCTTAAAGCACGTTGCAAAACTAGTTAGTCAGCACTTCATCTGCTCCGTGTTGGTTTTATCGAAGGCTTCTTCAATATCTATAAATTTATTCAATTTTTCTTATTCTATTCGTTTGTGTACAAGACGTGATGTTCTCGCAGCAACTTCGCCATGACGCGCCATCTCGATCGTATGCGCTTTTTCAATTTGGATTTGACCGTCTTGTAGTTCTCCCAGTCCTCATTCACGTATGTGTTCATTACTCTATTGAAGCTTACCCTTCTTCTTAGCCTCTCAAGCTCAGGACCTCATATGTGTCGTGTCCAGCAGTCTTCCATACCGATCCCCCCAGATTCTGCTTCAGTTTGTCGAGCGAATTATAGTAATAAAATCAGTTTCCTCTCTGTCCGAAAAAATATAAAGACCCCTTTTTTCTTATGTGCCCATTATAAAATGAAAAAAAAAAAACAATAATTAAATTTAAATTTAATTTAATTTAAAAATGCAATTGTTCAACATTTAGTCATTTGAGTTAGTAACTAGAACATTATTTAATATTATCATGTTTTGGACTATTAAACACCTAGCGTATAAGTATGAAAACCTAATTTTGTCAAACCCAATTTTGTAAAATCTCGGAAGTCTCGTTTTCCCGGGATTTTCGAGACCGCAATTCTTCTCGACTTTATTTCCCGGAACGCGGAAGTGCAGCGAGATTGAAAGCCTTACTGGCCATCATGCAAAACAAATACGCGATTTACGTCCTGTATTGGTGGGCTATATATTGCAAATTATATTGATATAAATATTTAATATCAGTTTCGCTTTTCGATATAAATGAATCTGGATTTATTTATATGTGACATAAATTCTTCACAAAATACCTTAAGGAGTAAATAACATTTAGGTTGCTAATTTTGATTGCTTCAATGTCCACGTGGTGATGCAGGGACACACTTGAAAAATGATCAGGGAACATTTAATACGTTCCGTAGCCTGTGACGCGGCACTCGATCCTAGTTGCGTCTCATAATCCTTATGTAAGCATCAACTATAATCAGAGATCAATTAAATTAGTTTAATGAAAAAGTACGAAAACATAAAAGGCTTTGTAATAATTCCAGAGATAAAAAAGCAATGTAATACGACAAGATACGGCTGTAATTTATAATTAGCATTTATTTTGTGGGAACACTTTATCAACACAACAATTCGCAGGCGTAAAACGGACATGGAACCATTGACCTATACATTGACATAAGTATCTAAATAGATTATATCTGTGCACAGGTGGTATTTTTATAGTATTTCTTAACCCTTACGGCATAAAATGATACGATCGTGCGTTCAACTTTGAAAAAATTTAGTTATAAAGGTATTTAAGTATTAAAGTATTTAAGTTTCTCTTTACGACATAAAGATCTTCGTGACCGGCTTAATGCGAATACATCTGGATAAGTGTGACTCCTTAATAATATTGACGTATTCTGTGACATTTCCAAAGCATTCGATTTTATGCACCCCTTTTTTTTAGAATATCAAGTGACGGGACGAACAAGTGATGCGCCTGGTGGTAAGCTACACGCCTGTCCATTAGAATTGCAATGCCACTCAGACCTTTAAATCGCAAAGATCTGAAGGGCACTGCCACCCTGAGACATAAGTTGACAAGTTCCAGGTGCCTGTGATTTCACCAACACCCTGACCTTTCAAAAACCGGAACGCAATGATCCTAATGTTACTGCTTGGCTACCGCCAAACACGGAAGTACTACTACTACTACTATTACTACCTTACCTATTTCTTCCGAAATAGATAAGGTAGTAGCACTTTCCCGAACGAACTCTTTCACAAGGAGCTCTTCTGCTACTAAACCTTGATACTCTACCCTGATACTGTGGTTAGGAAACTACGCCATTATGGTTTAAATAGTTTTCTAGCTTTATTATTTATAGTATAATGCATTGTCTCTTTTCATAAATGCAATAAATACATTGTCGAAATAGGTACATTATGTATGAGTTATGGTACTGGTTATTTAAATGATATATTCATAAAAAAATAAAGCTGCTTTGAGTTCGGTTAACAAAGGTGGTTTTCCGGTCGCGGTGGTGTCGCATAAGATGATTATTAACATAAGATGTTAATAATGATAAAAATCTAAAACCTCAGTTTGCGGCTTACAATGTAAGTTTTTTGTGTTCATAGGAATTTGGTATTGTAATGCTAAATTATTTCCTCACAGGGACATTATTATGTATAGATAACCTCTAAAGAATACACTGCATAGATAGAACTTTAAATAAAGCTAAAGAAGTCTTAAATATGTTGAAGCCGTGCAGGCGCTATGAAACTAATAGTGCACGTGCTGAGGATAATGTGAAAGGTGTGGCGGATTCATTTTATTAATCAAAATATCGTCTTGATGCTTAATTTGTTTATTATCATTTGCAACAGCAACTATAGTCTTT